TTTTCATCATCAATATTGACATTATTGTTATTTTTTCTTGGTATCATTACTATCGTTATTATCATTATGATTTTCCATTATTATAATATCCACTGTCATCTTCATCTTTATAATCATTACCATTATGAACATTACTATTACTATTATTATCATGATGGTTATGATTACTGTTTTGTTGCTGTCATTATCACCATTTCTATTTCTAGGATCCAAATTGATATCATTATCATTATCTTGCCACTGTTACCGCTATTATTGTTATATTTTCATTGATTTTATTCTTATCTTCATCATCATTATCACATACATGATAACTATCATGATTACTTTATCATTATGCTACTCATCATTGTTATTATTATCATTATCATTACTATTATTATTATTCTTACTGTCATTGCAATTATTATTGTTATTATCATCACCATTACTATTGTTATTATTGTTATTATTATCTTTGTTATTGTTACCACTATTATTATTATTATTATTATTATTATTATTATTATTATTATTATTATTATTATTATTATTATTATTATTATTGTTATTATTATCATTACTGTTACTGTAATTATTGATATTATCAGAATCATTATTGATAATATTGTCATTGTTATTCTATCACTATCATCATTATCATAATCATTATTATTATTTCTCTTATTATTGTCATTATTATCATCACTATTGATATTATCATTATCATTATTCTCATTGTCATTATTGTTATAGTTATTTTTGTTATTACCATTATCATCATCGTTATAATTTTGTTTATAATCATTATTATCATAATCAATGTTATAATCATTACTATTATTATTATTATTATTATCATCTATCATTATTATTATATTATTATATTATTATTATTATTATTATTATTATTATTATTATTATTATTATTATTATTATTATTATTATTATTATTATTATTATTGTTATCATCATTATTACTATTATTATCATTATTTCTACTACTACGACTACGATTATTATCATTATCATGATTATCATTATCATTATCATTATCATTACTATTATATTAATCCTTATTGTTATAATATTTTATCAGTACTATCATGATCATTTTTATTATCATTGTTATCATCATTATCTTTATTACTATAATTGTTTTTAATGATATTGTTATCATTATTATCATTACCATAATAATAGTAATTATTATTAGCGTTATTATTATCATCATTTTGTTATTATCATTATCAACATTGTTTTTATTATCAGTATTTTTATTTTCATCATCATCATCATAATTACCATTATCATTACAATTATTATCAATATTATCATCATTATCTTTTTTATTACTATTATTGATATCCTTATTATCATTATTACCATTATCATCATCAGCTTTATGACCCTTTCTATTATCATTATTTTTACTATTACTCTAATCAACATTACCATTATTATTATTATTTTATTATCATCATCAATATTAGATCATTTGTATTATCATTACTACTATTATCATTAATATCAATGTAATTATTATCATAATGATAGTTATCATTATTACCATTATCATTATTGAAATTACTATTATCATTATTGTTATTATTTTTTTATCAGTCATTATTATCATTATCATTATTATTGTTTTTTGTTATTATTGGTAATGTTCTTATCATTATCATTATCATCACTTGCGGCATCATCATTATTATTGTTTTCATCTGTATGATCATAATTGTTAACATCATCACCATTATCATTATTGCCATCATTATTATTGCTTGTTAATATTACAGATTTTATCTTAATTGTTTTTTTGTTGTTGTTCTCATTATGATTATCATCACTATACTTATCATAATATTATTATCATTGATATTATTCTTTTTGTTATTATCATTGTTATTATTACCATTACCATGATTATAATTACTATTGTTGTTATCATTATGAATATCATCATTGTTATCATTATTATTAGCATAATGATAAGACTGATAAATATAATGATAATAATTGTCATTATTATCATTATTGCAATCATTATAATTATAATTCTCACCGTTGTTAACCTCATTATTATTAAAATATTAATCACTGTTATCGCTTTGTTATTTGTAATAGCAGTATCATCATCATTATTACCACAGTTATTATCATTATCATTATTTTTATCGTTATTACTATTATTGTTGTTGTTATCAACCCTCTTGTTTTGTTGTAGTTGTAGCTGTACACTCTGCCGAATCTTAGAAAAAGAAAAACTGACAACTCAACCATACACACTGGAGTATTCCGAATTGCCAAATAAGTGGTAAAGAAGGTAAAAAAAACAATAAATACAATATATAGTATCACATTAATTTCTGAAAATACATGTAATATGTAATTACAAGTATTAAGTATCAGCTGATCAGATTAAAAGCGAAATTTGGTGAATCGGAGTACTCCAGAATGCACTGTAAAGTTGCCAATTTAAACGCACTTTAATATTTATAATTGCTATTGTCATCGTTATTATCATTATTATTGTTATTATTGTTGTAATTGTTATTACTATTATTGTTTTTATCATTACCATAATTATTATAATTATTATTATTATTAATATTATTGTTGTCATTATAATTGTTATCATCATTATCACTATTCTCGTTATGGTTATCAGTATCATCATTATTGTAATTATCATCCTTATTATCACTGTTATTACATTTTATAATAACTATAGTGATGATAATAAAGATGACAGTAACATTAGGAATAGAATGAGAGAGAGAGAGGAGAGAGAGAGAGAGAGAGAGAGAGAGAGAGAGAGAGAGAGAGAGAGAGAGAGAGAGAGAGAGAGAGAGAGAGAGAGAGAGAGAGAGAGAGAGAGAGAGAGAGAGAGAGAGAGAGAGAGAGAGAGAGAGAGAGAGAGAGGTAGAGAGAGAGGGGGGAGAAAAGAGAGCGAGCGAAAGGAGGTAAGGAAGGGCGAGAAAGATGTACGTGTGAGAGAAAAGAAGTGAGTAAGGAAATGGTGAAAGAGAGTAAAACCAAGTAAAAGAGAAAGGTAGTAGAGAGGGAGGGATAGGAGGAGAGGGAATAGAGAGAGAGAGAGAGAGAGAGAGAGAGAGAGAGAGAGAGAGAGAGAGAGAGAGAGAGAGAGAGAGAGAGAGAGAGAGAGAGAGAGAGAGAAAGAGAGAGAGAGAGAGAATAAGAGTATGAGAAAGAG